TTTGATCACATGTTTTCATGTTCGACTTGCCCTAAACAACAAGGGAAAGCATGAGGGATATGGCTTTGTTGAGTTTGCTTCTTCTAAAGAAGCAAAGAAGGCACTGGAAAACAAGAACGGTGAATATTTGCATGATGGTAAGATTTTTCTTGATGTGGTTAATAAGGGAGCTACATTCTCCTCTCGACGCAAGTATTATTGCAATTCACAAGGTTTGGTACGAAGAAAGCCTGCCTATAGAAGAAGATCAAGATTTTGTTGAGGTACTACTCTTTCTTGCCAATCTCTCTCCCCAAGTTTGTATGTTATGAGTGAAGCAAGTGCAACCTTTTTTGGACTTTATATCACAAAATCAGACATCAAATTTTTATACACATTACACAAAAAGATGTAGTGGTAAATTAGAATTTATTTATATGTTGCACCGATCGTAACCTGAGAACCAAGAGGGCTCAGAAAGCTTGGAAAACTCGGTTACTTCCACGCAAAGCGGCTCAAACTCATCTCTCCATTGCTGCTCACTTGCATCTACCGACGGTTTCATGGCTTCATCGTTTTCTGAAGAGCTTTCTCTGAGTATATGAGATTGTGGGACGAGTTGGTTAAGAGCGTTGATTTCGTTTTCATGTTTTCTCTTCAGCTTGTCAATCTGTTTATATGCGTCTGCAGCTTCATACTCCGCATCCATCGCTCGTTTCTGTTGATACAAGCCAGAGAGATCATATATAAAACGTTATTTGCCTGGGCAGTTAAGAATTGGGTAGTGAGATCTGAATTGTTCATAAAGTGTAATATCAGAATGAAGAAACGTACCTGTGCAACTGTCAATCCTTCTTCGGCTTCCTTAAGCCGAACAAGTAACTCTCCGGCGGCTTGTATGGCTTCAGCTGTATCTCTTAGTTGTGTCTGGAGACTTTTGTTCTCATCTCTCAAGTATTGTCCCTCCTTCTCTCTTTCTACCTTTAAGGCTGAAATTTCTGCCGCAAGTGCATTTATGAATCTGGACTCTGCTCCTTTGACTCCGGCTTTTGCAGCTGCTTTTTTAACATCGTCTATTCCTTCTTGAATCCTTCTATGTCTTGCAAGCATTTGCATATGCTTCTCTTCCAGGTCTGCATATTGTTCAAGCATCCGTGTGTGTCCATGCATCGCCATCTGCATTGCTTCTTTCAACTCTTCCGCACATCTTTTCTCAATATCAAGCTCGTGTTTCTGCTTATTCATCACCACCTTAGTGGCTTCAAGCTCTGTTCTTAATTCCTCAGCGAGAGAAATCCATTTGGTCTCTGCCTCAGTCCAACGAAGTCTTTCCTGTTCTAATGTCTTCTCAAGACTCTTGTCCAGTGATGCAGGAGTAGCGTTGACTGGGGGAGCTTGGTATGAAAGCTTAAGCAGGGAACACGTTTTCCTAGCTGATGTAAGAGAAGGGTCAATGTAACATTGTAGCTGCGTCTTCAAATCCTGAATCTCTTCCAATAACACTTCCCTTTCTCCCATGTCACCATAAAAGTTCCCGAAACTCTCGACCTCTTCTTGCGCTCTTTCCAACTCAATCTTCGTCTGCAGCACTTCAGGGTGGTTCTGATATATGTCCTTTAGAAGCTGCAACATTATATGTCATAGAAAGCTTTCGGAGTGGAGTCAAATTATCTTCCTGAAAACGAGAACCCACAATTACCTTATGTTCATGCAGGAGAGATGCAAATTCTTCGTCAAGGAAATCCTCCTTAGATAATATCCCATCCATAAGGCTTTCAAGTCGGATAATTTTGTCCTCCCTTGTTTGTCCAATGATGGCATTGCATTCTCTCTCATGTTTGTATTGTTGTACCTGTTACACGATTTGGACCAAATTATATACAAGGATACAGTTATAAAGTTTCTCTTGGTATGTCGAGCATAGAAAAACAAAAAAAAACGAACATAAAGAAGCAAGTATCATACCAGTCGATTAAGTTGAGTTATCTCAGAGGCTTGCTTAGTGCAGAACTCTTCTAGAGCCATTTCCCTCCTGATAGATCCTGCTAGAACCTTTTCCACTGCCTGTAAAGTGTAAAAAGTGTCACATCATTTGGAGGCACACGTTATATGAATGTGGAAACAAAAAACCTCGAACTGGTAAAACTGCTTTCAAATAAAAAGCCCCCATTCTTACTTTGGGAATTTGGTTCTTGGATTTTTCTGTCACTTCTGAGTTGTCAACATGTACTAACTGAAGATTTGGCATGTCCCCGATTTGCAGGACATCAGATTGTTCTCTGCATTTGCATTTACTGCACATAACTTCTTTTGTATTCTCCTTTGATATTGCGTCAGCTTCGGGAAAGGTCTGCACACCTACATCAACCTTACTTACAAAGGTTGAAGGCTTACTATCTGGAGCTTTGAAGGAAAACCTGAATGTGGATCGTTTTTGAGCTGTACTCTGGCAGTACGAATCTAGAAGTTCAATTCCTTTGTGGAGGCTAGCTGCCAAACGCTCGGTCCGTACAGGAAAAACTTTGCTCTTCTGTGTAGACAAAGAACTAGAACAGCTATTCATCTTTTGGGATGTAGCCAGAGATGGGTCCGCAGCTTCCATAACTAACTGGTCTCCCTCAGTATCCTTCTGAGATGCTGCTGACATTTCCGATGTCCTCAAGCTTTTCCTGCTATTTCTAATAGTAGGAGAGACGCTCTGTGTGGGAGATTTTAATTCAGGCGAAGGACCAAGTTGATCTATACAACGACTAGGAGATGCAGACTTTACTAAGTGCTCTGGTTCATTTACTCCATCAGCTGTCAATATATTTGCAGAAGCAAAGTCTTCCACAACCAAGTCAGGGCATGATGGCAAGGGTGTCTCGATCTGATCTGCTGTGATGCCGGTCTCCGTCTCAGTTCTCATATTATCCACTGTTTCTGGTACATGGTTCTCAGATTGGCAATAAGCATCCTCCATGGCAACATCTGTGTCCCCAGGAGACCGCATTTCTAAAGATTGCTCATCGGAATGTATACTCTCTACTCTGCTCATATCATGATTGATCCCCTCGGAAGCTGGAGATGGTTGCAAACCCGCTTGAACACAAAGGCTTTCAACAGCAGCCTCATCAATTTCCATCTCAATGTCTCCATCATCATCTCCATGGGGTAAGAACCTTGGATGGCCCAGCCCAAAGCTTCTTAGTAAATTCAAACTTCGACGTGCATTCCATGCAGTGGAATAAGCTGCATTTGGATTGGTTGGATTATTTCCATCATCCTTCATCCTTTGAAGTTCATCCTGCTCAATTTATC